CCCCTCCTGTTCGTCATCTATTGTGTTGCGAGATGTTTCAATGCCAAGCGTTTACCCCGACCCTGTTCGACATCTATTATCTTGCGAGATGTTTCAATGCCAAGCGTTTACCCCTCCTGTTCGACATCTATTGTGTTGCGAGATGTTTCAATGCCAAACGTTTACCCCGACCTTGTTCGACATCTACTATGTTGCGAGATGTTTCAATGCCAAGCGTTTACCCCGATCACCCACGCCGCAAGGCCTGAAAAATCCTTCGGTCTCAATCGCTGAAGGTTTTTAGAAAATCCACCAGGTCCTTTAAAGCATTCGACTATTGAGGCTGAAGGGCTTTTGGAATTCCTTGAAGGATTTTCTAGTCCCAAGGACCGTGAAGGACCCACCCTACGGGCGCGCAGGTTGCGCGTATGCATTTGTCCAAGGAGGCATGCTTTCTGCGACGGATGGCTGGACTTTCTCACACTCTCTCTCTCTCTCACCGTTAGGTGGGGGTAGTTTGAAGCAGGTTCTCACATCTGGAATCACTCAGTGGCACCATGCAGTATTCCTCGACCGCACCCTGCTGCCTTGAGGACTTCTCGATCGCACTACAACCTCCTGCCGGATTTCAGGCAGCATCCCAGCATGGTAGATGAAAGCAAGCGACGGATTCCCCCTAAACCCTGAGGAGCCTTGCCTGCGCTTGCGAGTGTGAGAGTCGAAACAAGTGTCAGCTCTGTTTCACGCCGACCTGCACCTATTGACCTGGCATGTCCGAGTTCTGAGAGCCTAAACCCCCAAAATTGACCTCGCCTGGCATGTCCGAGTTCTGAGAGCCCAAACCCCCCCAAAAAAAAGGGGCCAGGAGCGGCTCAGAAAGCGGAGACTTGGGGCCAGGCCTGGCTTGGGGGATGTACGTCTTCTCCGTGCAGGAGCTCAGCGCCTGGCCCGGGCCTCCAGAGAGAGGGAGATATAGATATATATATATATAATATATATATATATAATGTGATATAATACAATAAGATATAATATGATATAATATATAATATATAATATAATACAATATAATTATAATATAATATATTAAAAGACAGTATATAATATAGTATAATACAAAAAATATGACATAATATAGCATAATATGATATGATATGGTATAACATAATATAATATACTATAATATAACATAATATAATATAATATAATATAATATAAGAATATATGTTAATAAGAACATTAGATTGTACATCATGTACTAAATTTTAATGTTATGATATATTGAAGGGAGAGGCGCCCTTAGCCCTTCGCTTTGGCGCTCCGGCGCTTCCCTCCACCAATTTCAAAGGCCCGCGACCAGCTCGCCCCTCAGCGCGGCCAGCGAGCCAACCTGGGTGCCGAGGAGCTCGCAGCTTCGGGTTTGTCGCATGGCCGAACGGTCCGAAAATCACACGTCACACTGCTTCGAAAAGATTCGGGTTGTCGCCCCTGGAAGAAGCAGCAACACACTCATCTTTCTTCGTCGAAGCCGCTGTCACGGCATGAGTGGAACCATTGGATATCATTGGATCTTCATTCATACTCCGACCCTCCTCCGATCAGTGGTGCAGGATTCCAGCTGTTGCTCCGACTGGCGTCGTCCTGAGTGATGCAACCGAGACGAGTTTGCTGGCAACTTCGGCAGCAGTCGATTGCCGGGTCTGTGGTTGTGTAGTAGCAAGGCCAGGTACATCGGCGAGCATGCCGTGCATTTCTCCTTGTCTGCCCCAAGTAGGGTCCGATTGATGTAATTAGCGCACCAACATCCTTGTCCAAGGTATCTTGGACTAGCAGCCCGCTCAAGGAGTCGCGCTTGGCTGTCGAAGAGATCTTCAGCACCGGTGAACATGTGACACGATGATCTAATGCCGTGCGCACATGCATGGGGCTCGGAGAACTCTCAAGCTTGGGCAGCCTGGGGTGCCTGAAGGACTGCGTCTTCCAACGCTTTGCGGTGGAGCTTTCGAACGGAAGCGACTCCTGGACTCATCTCGACCGAAACAGCTGGTAGCTGTCGGAAGGCATGGCCCCGTTTGAAGGCTGCAGTGCAGATGCTTTGCTGGCTCAGCCAGCACTGGGCTTTGTAGCTTCGCTCAGGATTTCGTGGTGCCGGGGGGCTGCGACATCACAGACGTCGCCACCACCAACTGCGTGGCGACAGGCGAACGCGACCTGTAAAGCTTACCCGGTAGGCGTGATATTGTCACTCTGCACGCAGAGGTGGACCCAGAATACGGCCGTACATTGCCTTTCGTTTTTGCAGGCCTGCAGTCCTGGACTGCTTACACTGCTCGTGTCGCTGTGCTTTGCGATGAGTGCAGCGAGACGCCGACAGCTGAGCGGGTGCCTTGCAGCGAGGAGGACTGCTGACAAACATTGACAAACACAATATGGTGGTTGGAAGCCTCATGGTCATTCAAGCTGGAATTTGCAATTACTTGCGGTCAGCTGCTTCTGCATGGAGGCAAGGGTGTTCCTTTGAATTTAAAAACGTTGCGATCATTTTCGATCCATCCACAAGCTGGCCAAAGACAAGACATGCAAGCTTGAAAGAACATGCAATTAAGCGACCACAAATTCCGCATTCTACGTTGGACTACCTATACAGAAGACATGCAAGCTTGAAAGAACATGCAAGTAAACGACCAGAGATTCCGCATTCTACGTTGGACAATCTCTACTAAGGGGGTTTCTGGCTGTATGGCCTAGGACCTTAAATTGTTGCAGCCTTCCTGTCTTCAAGCGGGGCCCTCTTCTCACTTGCCGGGCACCCTGAATGCCACAGTGGACCTTTGCTGCCTCCAGAAGATCTGTCTGCAGTGACACAGAAAGCATGCCCCCAGTAGCAGCAGAAGGGATAAGCAGAATGCTACTAGTACTAAATAGAATAATCATTTTCGCAATACTAGTAGCACTTCTTATGGCTGCCAATCTTATTCATTAATATTATCGCTGTGCTGCATTACAACGGTTATGATGATGATCATGATGATGATGTTCAACACAAGAATAGTAAGGATTTTTTGCAATACGAAGAATGGCAAGAGCCGATCCCACGCTGCTCCGGAGGATGGCCCTGGACAGCGCTGTTTCGTTCCAGCCACTGGCGGCTTGACCAGCTGCTTCCGGAAGCTACCTGCTCTGAGGCCTCCGTCGGGCTCTGGGCTTTCGGGCTCTCTAAAAAAGGGGCCCAGAACTTCGTGGATCCCACTGATCAGCTGTCGGCCACAGGGCTTCGAGCAGTTTCTCTGCACCGAGCCTGTCATCATCCACGCTGCCCAGGCCAAGCAGTGCGAGACGTCTGGCATTTCCGCTGTTCTTGTCAGTCTTACTACTCCCTGTTGCCGTCGTCGTTGCCGCCGCGTCCTTGTCGCACTGCCGCTGCCACTGCACGGAGCTGGCTGTAGTTGCGGTTGTGGTGGTTGTTGTTGTTGTTGCTGCTTTTTTCTTCTGGTTCCTTCTATGGCAGATACAGTAGCAGCCATCACCCGTGACTGCCAGTGCCGACCTTGGGGTGCCCAACCGCCCCTCCTGCTTTGCCCGGAGTCACTTGTGTTTATTTTTGTGTGTCGCTTGCGTCTTTCTTTTCTGTGTCACCTGTGTCTGTTTGCTTCTTGCGAAACAACAGTCTCGAGCGAATGCCCTATTTTGCTAGCCGTCCGCGGCTTGCAAAAAACTTCCAGGGTTTGGGCCTTCTTTCATTAGGGTTTCGGTCTGGGTTTAAGTAAAAAGACACAGGTGACACAGACAAGAAAGACAGACGCGACACAGGAAGAAAAGAGAGAAGTGATGGGGCACCTGTCCGAGCAACGGTCGGGAACCCGAACCTTCGTACTGTTAGTGCATGTTCTGTTAGTGCCATCTTCGCAGAAACAGGGCGCTTACGTCCGTGACCCCACCCCAGTTTGGAGGGCAAGCGCAAAGGAGAAGAGGTGTGTTGCCCAGGCCCAAGGGGAGTTGTCATGGAGGTTGGGAGGGGTGCTACGTGTACTGCCAACATGGAGCTTCCTGGACTAACTTCTCCACTGAGGCGGCCTGAGCTAGTCGTCGTCGTCGTAGTAGTAGTAGTAGTAGTAGTCGTCGTAGTCGTAGTCGTAGTCGTAGTCGTAGTCGTAGTCGTAGTCGTAGTCGTAGTAGTAGTATCAGCAGTAGCGCTCCTCCTCCGAGCACGATGACGCATGAGACTACTACTGATGATGTTCAGCTTCGTAGTCTTCATCATCCTCTCATCATAAGTGGTGTGTCTTCATGTTCGTCCTTCTGTCAGAGCACCAATAATGAAGCATCAACCATGCCACCACTACAATCACTACAAATCAAAGATCGCGACCTTCGCATGGTCTCATGGTCAGGAATCAGCATCGCATGGACATGCAACATCATCAACGTCAATCCTCGCCAGCTCCTCACCACCGTCAGCATCAGCGTGGTCTTTTATCATCGGGTTGCTGTTAAGTTATGAAGAAAAACCGTCAGCCGCCGCCTGAAGCTTCCCTAAGTCCACCGCCAGGATCGAGGCCACTCCTGTGCTGGGAACAGCAGCTTGCCTGCTATGCGAGGGAGAACGATAAAGTCAAGTATAATTGAGCGAGGATGCGCCAAACAGGATACAGGCACTTTTTGGAGCGTGCTTGTTGCACAAGGCCGAGGGATTTGGAGCCTAATTGTTGTTCGTCATGATGCGGATCAGTACCAGTCGCGTAGAACGTGTAGAACCAGTCTTCCTCGATGTCGTCGTGGTGCTTGCGCTGCTGGCATGCAGGAACAAAGGGAAAAGACTCAGACAGAAACGCTGACCTAGTTTTGAGTCCTTGCAGGAAAGGCTAGCGCCATGAGTTGCAAGGCTGTTAGAGAAAATGCAGGTGCTCCGTGAGCCGGGCTCCTGCTAGCTAGGTGGCAGGCAACACAACCCCCCCCTTGACGGCGTAGCTGACTCGGACTTGCAGCGCAGTGTACTCTTGTGTGCTCCCTGCAATGCGACCTGGTCAGTTGGGGCAGTTGAGGGAAGAAGCGCTCAAACAGCTGCAGCACTGAGGCATCCAGGGGCCTTGCAGTGTGCGTGTATGGGCGGAAAACGTTCTGAAGAACCCAAGCAAAGGTCCGGCCAACCCTCCAGCCCTCGGCAGCCGCAGCACCGAGAGGCAGAGGCAGCCAGAGAGCACCCAGCAGAAGCAGAGGCGGAGGCGGCAGCAGCAGGAGAGCAGCAGGAGGGCTGAAGGATGAGGGCTGGCTGATGCTGATGATGCGCACGTCGCAGCATTTTCATGTCAATCATTGAATCGTGGAGCTGGGAGGCTATTCTCCGAAAAGTCAAGTAAAAGCGCTCCAGGTTCGCCCAATTCAAACTGCTGGATGCCCATGCCGCTCAGACGGGGCACCCTGATCTCAGTCTGGTCGCCATGCAGCAGGAGGAAGCAGGAAGAGCTGCCTTTGCGCGGCCGACGCTGCTGATTGGTCCTCTTAAGTGGTTTGTAACAAATAAACTCGCATCACCGGGAAAAGGTGGGTGCTGCTTCTATGGCCTCAGGTCCAGGTTCCGGCAGACTCGGGCCAGCGCGTGACCTTCGCATGGGCTTCAGGACGTGTTTGGGGATATGTGGGGGGATCGTCGAAAATAAGCAGGAAGGCTTCGATTTCCGAATTTGGGAGGCTGGATATTGCTCGAGAATTCCACAACCCCCTACACCAATTTGCTTTGGAGTCCTGAGAAGTTCCGTTATCCAGTGCATTGAGCGGAGTCCATTGAGCGGGGCCATGCCCGGCAGGTGTCGGTTCAGAGGGCAACCCGAATGTGACCTCGGACTGCATCTTTCAGTCATGGCGACTGGAGATTCAAGTCCAGAGCGAGAGCGACACTTGGCTGATGAAGGTGCTTTAATTGACGGGGAGGGCTCCGACTTCATACGAGACATGCTGGAGCTGTGAGATAACAGAGGTCTTGTAGCTGTGCTGGGCATATAATAATGGCTTGGCATGCTTCAGGATGGCAGTCTCAAGGTCCGTTGGCCCGATTGCTTACCTTAGGCTCAGATCAATGTCGTGTTCTTTGCCGAGCGGTGTTCTTGATCCTCCTTCAGTTGTGATGTACCGTTACCATTGATTTGCTGATAGAGCCTGGCTCGTAGGAGCATCTGAGAGCCCATGCAGAAGCAGACGCTTTCAACCGCGACCCCACGCTACTCAGGTCTGGGCCAAGCCAGACGGCTGCTTGAGTCTTATCGACCCCATGGCCACCACTTGCACAGCGCAGAGCTCGGATTCCAGTATAACCGGAGCTTTACCACATCGGCCCAGTGTAAACGTCCGGTGTGAGATGTCTGAGCCCGCTGCCGGCGAAGTTTGCCTGCTCAGACTGGCATCACCGCCTGCTCAGGCCATCAACCTCCAGTGCGACACCGCCTACAATGCTCGAATCCGAAAGCGCCTCGCCTGAAGAAACCACCCCTTAAAGAAATCCAAGCGTGAGCGCTCTCTTTGCTTACACCTAGGCTTTGCGACGCCGGGGCGAGCAGTGATTGGATGGCCTTCCCAGCTTTCCGCACGGCTTACGCCGGCCCCATGGCAGCTAGTGACAACGGTGGCTGCAGCAAGAGTTCTGCAGTATGTAATATATACAAGAATATCTATATATAGATACATATATACAATATTTACGGGCTGCCGCCAGTGC